GAATATCACATCAACTACCGTGCGACAGTTTCAAAGAGATCTTGTCTTCCCTTTCACGAATTGCACACTTTCGTTTTAAAATTGAAATTAAATTTCTTTGCAATTATACATTATTTCAGATAATCTATAGACTTCATCTTTTAATTTCGTTTCATCTTTCTAATTTATTCTTCTGCCGCTTTCGTCACCATCGTTTCTCTCTCTCTCTCTCTCTCTCTCTCTGTTTCGTTTCATTACACTTACCTCTCTCGCCATTTTCATTTCACTTTACAGGTCATGAGCAGCCGGACGACCTAATAAAAAAGTATAAAGATTATGGAATAAAACGGCAGGTGTAATTGCGTTGTGGTAGGCCATCATGCCTGCGACCATCCGCATAGCGTGACGCGAATGGCTCTGGGAAAAAAGCGCTATTGTTTACCGACTCGTTATTTATATTGCGGCGTGTCGCGTTGAGCTACGCTGACTGTTATACCAAAAAGATAAGCGAAACTACGCCATGAAACCTACGCTCTCGCCACGATTGCTCGCGCTCACGTGAACGAAAGAAATTATTGATGATCCTCCTTGCGGAGGAGCCTTTCGTGAAGAGGTGTTGCCGGCTAATTCCTCGCGTCGCCGGCGAAAGCGTAATTATTTATTCATCCACACGGTTTTATTCTCTATTATTTATGAATCGTTCTTCGTATTTTCTGTATATCAATCGCCTAATGGATTATTTTCGTTCTTTTTCATTATTTGTGTTTCACCGATAATTATGCGAAACGCATTAGTTAGTCAGTGGACTGTTGTTGTTCCTTCGTTGTGCTTGCCGTTCGATTCGTAATGATTCTATTGATTAATAATAATAGTAGTTAATGATAGTAACTGTATTATTGTACTATATCATATATATAGTTGTTCCTCAATGTTGCCAAATAAAGCAATGAATTGGAAATAATATTCTATTAGAAAATTACTACAAGTAATATTTATAACGAAGGCAATTCCTCCGTGTAAGTATCAGTGTTCTTATAATTTTATAATATTATTACAGTTAATATCTTTTCATATCACGAAGGATCACGTGGCTTCACTGTAAAAAGAGGGGAGGGAAAAATGAATTTTTTCGCAAGTGTTTTGTAAGAAAAACAATTTATTCAATCGATACCGTTTCTTTTTATACCAATTATAAACATATTTTTTGGTTTTACCGATTAACACAAAGTTCTCTCAAACATCATGCTCGACAATCACGCATACTCTCACGCTCGCGTACACACAATTACATAAATCTACTGATCGATGCATCGGCCTTGTTTAAATCTTGCTCTCGTCGCGCTAACCCTCAAATTGTCATTTGCCAAGAAGTCTATATATTAATTATATGCATTAATTACTTAACCCTCAAATTGTCGTCAATTGCCAAGAAATTTATGTCAGTTACACGGTATCATTGTTTCACTAAAAAACAGTGGAAAGTCATAACATTGATCGTGATATTTTCCAAAAAATTCGACTGATCTCAAGAATCCTAATGACAAAGTGTGAATTAATCATGATAATTTGAAGGGTTAAAATCGACAAGTCGATCGACGAATCGACTCGACGATCACGATCACAACTGGATTACAGATTTTTATGCTTTTTTAATTTCATAAAATTTCCGCATGAAAACATCTAAAGAGAAATGGAACTCGAATAGAAATTTTGTTTGAAATTCGCCTGATTTGCATCTAAATATACCTTTGGTTTTCAGTGTTTTATGCATGTTTTCACGTATATCGTTCATTTCCGATAATTTCCCGTAAATGCATAAAAATCGGCAGTCCAATTTTGCAATCTTCACTCGAAATAGCGATCACACGCAATTGTCCCGGCGATCGCGATTAATGATGAAACATTATGTTTCACTCGATGTATCGTTTTTTTTTTTTTTTTTTTTTTTTCAAAAACGCTCGCGCTCTTCGATCTTAATGGTAGGTACATATATATATAATACAATTCGTACGCAGAAAAGGACCAAAGTCTTTGGTGAATTTTCGGGCGTGGCGATTTACGATTTGCATGCTCGTACAATTCTGAACTCGTGAATTTCAACATTCTCAACCCGAACAATACCGTTCGACTAGGTCCGACTTACGCTATATCTTTGGTCCTCTAGCCGCTATGATTCTTTGCCAGACATCGGAATTTCTAGTGAAATTTTCTAGTCTTCTCCTTTTTCCCCCCCTTCTCGTATCTCTTCCGAGGACACGAGATTATTTACAGTAATTTTTATTTTCTCTTAAAAAAAAAAAAAAAAAAAAAAAAAAAAAATTATTCTGCCTAATTTTGTTTTTCTTTCTTTTTTTTTTCTTTTTTCTTCTGCATAATTAGTACAATTTCAAGGGTTGGAACGTATCGAACAACGGTGAATAAACTTTCTCGTATTAATAATTTCTTCGAGAAGTTTTACGTTTGAGAAATTATCAATAGAATGGAACAAGCTTTTTGGCCATTTCAGTTGGACAATTTATTTTTTGCTTCTCGATGTCGCAGTGAGGCTTCGACAGTTAACTAGAGAAATTTTAATCGCAAATAGAAAGTCGATTTCTTAATTTAATCTCTCGCTTGTGTATAAGCGTCTCGATGAAATTATTATCCATTGCACACGACGAACGAAATCATCGAAAGCGAATTTCTTTGGTTTTGGAAAAGAGTTGCTCGAAGAACATAATTCTCCACAAACGAGAACAACAATTCTCATCCTTCTCAATAATAAAATTTTCACTTACGTGAAATTGATTGTTGTCCCGATATTACGTAACATGTTTGAATAAAAATCTAATTCCGTCAATTGGAGAACAATTACATTGTGATATTAATATAGACAAAATGGATTCACATTTAACATGAAAATTCACATTTAAATATTTATCTCGATATTTGCGATCAAAAGTTTCTAAACTAAAAATATTGTGAAACCAAACCACGGATAAAACTCGAACAAATTACCTAATTGAAGCAAGACACGTCCCTTTGAAATAAGCTTTCTGTCCACTCGCGACTCTAACTGCAGGAGGTAGAAATAGTAAAAAAAAAAAAAAAAGAAAACAATATATGAGAAAGGAAAGAAATATCGGGCAGCACATGGTGATTATTGCGGCACGACTGCTGTACATTTATATTATTCCAAAGACACACTTCGAAAGAACTTTTTTGCTTTTCAATCACTCGAGTGGCAAATTAATTATAGCTAATTACTCTCACACTGTTCTGTACATTGTACAAGTTTTAAAATATTTAAATTAAGTCATTTTTCGTCCTCGAAATATTCTTTTTTTTTCTTTTTTCGACGAAATTTTCAACAAAATATTTTACTTCATAATTTTAATTCATCGTTTTCAGGAATTTTGTTCAGTTTCCTTTCAACTGACGAAACCGACAAACGTAATCTTTGCACAGAGAGTACAAACAGTCTAAAATCAATCGATCTCTACCTTCGAGATATATCTAAATATAAAAAAAATTATAGTTCTTGCAGCACGTTGCCACTCGAGCGATTAGGTGATTAGTAAAATCGCTCCTAAATGTAAATGTAAATAGAACGTACACCTAAGTATTTGAAAACCCTGCACGTGCAACTGGTAACGCTGGCTCGGATATAATATAATACGGATTTATTAACGCGCGGATGTGTGTCTGTGCACATGTAACGCACGCGTGTGTTACAAGATACAATGAGGTTACGTCAAATAGGATACGTCTCTTCTTTATTTTCCTCGACACACGCTCGAAGAACACGTTCCCAGTCGATTGAAACAAATTTGAGTACCGAAATGAGCAATTTGCAACAACGACGAGGTTTTTAAGATTACACAATCTGCAAAATGTCTGGTACGCGCTACCATTACGAATTCGATGACTTGTCGAACGATAATGATATCTTTAAAGCGGACTCTGTACGAAATATTTTTAGCAGTTTTTTTTAGAAATTTTCCTTTTAAATTCTTCGAATTGTTAGAATAGCACAGATATAGGAAAACTGTTTTCAGTCGATTTTCGTCTTACAAGGAAGTTAATCAACTGTGTGAAATTTGTCGAATGATCGAAATAAAGTGGAAATAAACAATCGTAAGATAGCTTCAATCTTGAAAAGAATAAACTTTTGAAAATAAAAATTTTTGGACTAAAGTACTTTCCATAAATTTCTAAGTTTTTCAAATTTCTCCAATTTTTCCTAGGATACACTGTATTTTTACGCATCACACGCGCCTAGATACACATGTGTACACACGTATCTGCCTATTTGAATGCATATGTGTGTGT